GAACCCAGCTCTGGGTTCGGCGAGGAACCCAGATCGGGTTCCTCACAAGGAACCCAGCTCTGGGTTCGGCAAGGAACCCAGATTGGGTTCCTCACAAGGAACCCAGCTGGGTTCCTCCGGAGGAACCCGATCTAGGTTCCTCGGTTCCATGAGGAACCCGACTCTGGGTTCCTTGCGACGAGGAACCCAGATCGGGTTCCTCCCTCTGGGTTCGTGAACCCAGAGCAAAATTTTTTATTTTTTTTAATTTTTTATTTAAGTAAACCACGTCATCAAAAAAAACATCCACGTTGAATTACTAATGGCATATATTGGCCACGTTAATTTTTGAGTGCCACGTAGTACATTTTGTAATGGTACCGTGACGTCGCGTTAAAATGTTGGGTTTTTTACGGATTTTGAAAAGTTAAGGGTGTGAATAGGGAGGAAAAATTTCGGAAGGTGTTGACCGTGGAAAACAATTAAGTGTAGGGTGCAAATAGGGGCTTTGGCCTTCTTTCTATCGGGGAAGTATTTCTTAATCTGGACCTCGACCAGTCTTTAGGGGAAACTGGAAAGTGTTGGATGGTTCGGACTAGTTTTCATTCATGTAAAAATGTGCTTGATTTACCGTAAGATATGACTGTTAGGAGGTCATAAGTTACCGCTATTTGATAATCAAAATTTAAAAGATTGCTAGATACAATTATCACTTATGAATTAATAATTACAAAAATGATAAATGTATATATATATATATTATAGAATAGTTTTAACTTTTTACAATATAACGTGTCATTTTATAATTAAAATATATATTCACTCATTTAATATCATATCATATTATATAAAATAATATACCACAAAAATTATACTTAAAAACATTAAATTTGTAGCATTAATTGATAAATTGCTAGAAGGCAATTTACTATTGTTACATTAGCAATAATATATTTACAATATCATAAAAAATAGTAAGTATACAATTATTATATATTATTAAATAAATATATATAATATTATAGGTAGATTAGAAATAAAAAAAACTAAACATATAATGACATTATTATTGTAAATTTATAA